TAAAATTATGTTACTATTCCCTGGTTTTAGTACAGGGATGTGGAACCAAGAGTATCCAAGGAGAACATCTTCCCATTTCTGCCTGTACTTTTAGATCTCCACAATTTTATCGTTACCCATGTCTATGAAACAGCAAGTTAATATTTTAAGAATCCCCCCCCCCCCCAGATTTTATTTATTGGATAAATGAGTTGCTGGAATTGAGACATAGAATTTAAATGGACAATTGTGCCCCCTGGAGGCTTCTAGAGGCACAATTGTTCTCTTCGTTGGTTTTTTATTAGTGATTGGTGGGGACCCTGAGGACTGCACAAAAGGACCCCATTAGGCATTATAATTCTCACTCTTGCACTACTATATCGACGCACCCTGATAGATTATGTTGCTGTTTTGGGACAGAGTTGAACAAGTATAAATTGAGTGGGCTTGGATCACACAGTGCTTGGGTTCAGAACCCTTGGTGCCACATGAGAGAAGAGGATTTCCATATTGAGATCAGTCATGGCACACTTGCCTACTACAAAAGAGTTGTTATTTATTTCAATTTTATGACAAGGTTGGGCAAGGCGTAGAATTGAGCCATTATAGATGCAAGTGGACAAGTCTCTATAACAATCTGTCCTTTTTGTAAATAGATTCATTTATTTTCAAGGATGAATATGTTCTATATAACTTAAAGATGACCTAATTTAAAGAAAAATATATTTCCCAAGAAGAATTTAAGATATGGGAAAAACTAATCTGATTTTACAACCACAAAATAACATAACATAAAATAAAAAGATCAGTGCAATCCTATTTTAAGTAATTCCCCAGAAACACATGTTTTCTAGCAGCGTTTTGCCAAGTGACTTGATGTCTTACCATTTTATTACTTGTAAGCCTTGGATCCTCAAAAGGGCTAATTTTAAGCACACATAGAAAAACTGAGCAAGCATGATCACTGAACCCAGACCTACTAATGCTGCATATATGGGTCATGGTGACCAGGTTTTAACAATACACTAGCTATGTGGAAAGCACAGTCATATAAATAAGGCCAGCTTTGGTCTCCATTTGGTACAAAGAGTATAGCCTTCAGCGTGAACAGCTCAGATGTGTGCTACTACTGTTCTGGTGTCCATGGACACGTGAAAATGTGTTTGAAAATATCCCTTATGTGCAATCTTGAAACTGTATATGCTCCTTGGTGAAGAACATCACCAATGAAAAGCCATTGTGTACCTGGTCTCTCTTTCCCTTTTTCATAGAAACTTCTTGGTAAGAAAAAAAGATGGGGAAAGTGGTGCAAAAGCCTAAGAAGTTTATAAAAGCAGGAGTGCAATGTTTGGACACAGACTTGGAAACACACATGCAAAATTATGTGAATGAACAGGATAAAGGTCTTGCCTAATACAAAGCCCCTTGGATGGCTAACATCAAAATCTTTCTGTCTGTGGCCTTTCTCTGTGGCTTTCCTGTTCTGCCATTTAAGCCCATCAGCAGTTGATAGCAGTTCCCTGCTTCTTTGCATAGGTATGCCTTAATGCATCGCCATGTGTTTACCCGTCTAGTTCTCCAGTTGAGCCAGTCTGGCAGCAGTGACTCTGCTTACTCTCATCCATTAAATTAAGCACCACCTGTCTAGTCCACAGTGAACGTAAACAGATACCCATACATTCTTGCATTTAGTGCTTGCATTTGAATAAATATTCTCCCCATACTAGATTGGTTTTGGAGGGGAGTGGGGCTTGCACATTCTTTGAAGCTTACCGCATGAGGCATGGCATTATATAACTTGTTTTATAGAGAAGCTATTTTTCAATATTCCATTAGGCTGCTCAAGGCAGTTTTGTTTCCCATTCTGAGGCCTTGATGTCTCTCTGTCATGGCAACAGCGGTGCCTGTTGTCAATTTGGTTGAGCCACCTGGACTTTTCTCAAAGTTATGAGATTATGCGCAACTTTGCAGAGCTTAGGTGGCAATGCCACAGTCAGCTGCCATGCCCTGCAGGGAATATTTCAGGCAGCACACAGTGATGGCTCCCGTCAAGCCCTGGGTCTGTAGAAGGGACTTGGCGGCCTGCATCTGGTATGTGGGCTATAAATTACTCATCCCTGCATTGCATTATAGCAGACTGCTGTATACATTTCTTGGCCAGTAACTGGGACTTCTATTCTTTGCAATGTTTCCTTAGTATAGTACCCATCAGGGGACACTGAGGCAAGCTATGAGCAGCCATGGGGGAGGGGCTTCTATTTGTGGCACAGCTTATTCCTTGTCACTCAAAAAATAAGCTGTGTCCACACAGCCCCCCTCCTTCTAATCCTAACTACCTTGCACTCATCCATTTTTGTTTATTTATTTATTTACTATTCTTGTATACCGCTGTATCTCAAGCCCGAGGGCGACTCACAGCGGTTTCCAAACAGCAACGACAATAAAAACAGCAATAATTAATATACAATAACTTTCTTTGTGGTTATCATGAGTTGACAGTGAGCAAGAAAGTGCTTATAGTGTGACTCCCATATCTACTGAGGGCCCTTCCACACAGCCATATAACCCACAATATCAAGGCAGATAATCCACATCTTCTTTGAACTGGATTATCTGAGTCCACACTGCCATATAATCCAGTTCAGTGTAGATTTTATACAGCTGTGTGGAAGAAGCCATATATACACAGATCCATGGATAGTAGCCATCCTATTATTTTCAGGGGGAATGATTGATAAACGTACCTAGAGAGAGAGAGTGCAGTTTGTTTAGGAGGCTTTACATGAATATGTGAAAAATGAAACCATAGATTAATGAAACCACATATATCAGTTCCATGAATAAGCAGGGGGGGGGGGGTCATACATTACTTGCTTACTAACTATGTGGGAAGCACAGTCATATAAATCAGGCCAAATTTGGTCTCCACTTGATAGAAAGGGTGTAGCTTTCAGAGTGAACAGCTCAGCTATGTGCTACCATTGTTCTGGTGCCTATGGACACGTGAGTGAGGAGGAAAGCAACTCTGGCCACTGCTACAACACTCAGTGACCAGGAGATCTTGGATCTTTAACAAGAGATTCAACAACAGAGCTTGGGAAATTATGTTGAAAAAAATGAAAATAAAGATCTGCTAAAGTCATTTGGGACCCAGGGGCTCTATCATGACATTGCTCCCTTGTGAATGGCTTTGGCATGTATTTCTATTCTGTCTTCTTAATCAAAACTTCTGTCACTAACATCCTAAAACTGCAAAGTTTGGGTGATATTCGAGGTTAGATCTTTTTCTATAATGAAGGGAGAGATAGGGTCTCAAGATGTAGAGAGAGACCCACAGAGGTAGAAGAGCCCCCCCGCCCAATGGATACCGGGACATTGGTGGTCCTTCACATCTGGATTGTTTGGATTGTTCTGTCTTGGATACCCCTTTCTATCCTAATCATATGACTTATTAGCTATTACTTCTCTTTCTTTTTGTGGAATCAGCTTCATTTGATAGATAAAATTAGGCCCACATGTAGTATAGGAGGAGAAAATGCAGATGAAGAACATAACACTTGCTACCTATGTATGTTGTATAGTTTCATTCAGTAGCCTCAGTTTGCAGCAACTATGAATGGTCTGGAGATGAATTCTTAACCACTGTAAGTGAAACCAGAGGTGGCTAAAAGTGCACTTCTGATTCTCCTTTTTCTTCATCTGCAAACAGTACCTGTGGAGATATATGGTATGGTCTGAAATTAAATGATGGCTTTTAGGAGTATAGTTCTTCCTTTATTATGTAAAAGTATGTCGGTGGAAGGTTCCCCCATCATGTTCATTTTGCTTTGTAGGAGACTATGATTGTTTTTCATTGTATGTGTTGTAGCTTTTGATACTGTGCTACAGTAGTTTAATGGCAAGTTGCTCTGAGATCAATATTTATCGCATATTTATATCTTCCTTACTATGATTTTGCTCATATATTAAGATGTTGGGAGATTTTTAAAAAATATAATACAGCAAATTTAAATACTATCTAATTTGTAGAATTTTATTAAGCACATTCCTCATTGAAATGTGTTCAGTTAATAGACTTTTTCAAATCTTAAATATTAATTATTATTTCTGCAATCCTTAGTTACCTGAAAGGAAGCAGGCTGCAAGTGATCTTCGTTCCACAGTGTGCTTCATATAACTTTGGCCTCTCTTCAAATCATATTGCATATTAAAGAGTGCTGAATATGGAAACTGAATTTAATGCTGTGCCTTCAGGAAACAACTGTTGGCTGAGTTGACAGCTTCGTGGGATTTGGAGTCTAGACATTTTTCCCTCTTCCTCCAAAACAAAATTACACAAGCAAAGGATGTGATTTCATTGTATTAGCAAACTGAAATCACATCCTTTGCTTGTATAATTCTGTTTTGTTTTTTTTTACTTTGTGAATATGGTATATAAAGCTTATTATAAAATGTGTGGCCTTTTTTCAGTGAAAGAAAATTAAATTTAGGTACAACTCTTCACTTTCATTTTTTATTATTGTTGGTCAGTCTCGATAACTAACATTTTGCATTTAGGTTTTTTTTTTATTTTGCTCAAAATTTATATTTTTTAAAACAAAATAAAAAACAGAATAGTTTCATACAGCAAGCTGTTTCATGGAGAAAATAGCATTCTAGCTTTGTGGATATCACCCAAATGTTCTGTTGTCTCCTTACATCTCTAAATAGTTGTCAGCAAAGCAGCTATATTCTTGATGAAGTCCTTTCACTTTTGAGTGCAATAGTTTGGATTGATTTTTCCTCTTCCTTACATAGAAATGTTAAAGATTTGGCAGAAAATAAAAGCATTGAGGTTCAGAAGTGAATATTTTGTCTTCATGCTGCAAATCAGCTGAAGCTCTTAGCAGCCAGGTTCATTCTTCCGTGACCCTAAGTGAACAAATTTGAACAGGCTTATCAAGTCATTGCCTTCTGAATAATAAATGCACAGTGGCAGTTGTTGATTACTGGTGATCCTTCCCCCCCCCCCCCCCCCCCAGGTGCTGAGGAAGTACTCTTGCTTGCCAGAAGAACAGATTTACGAAGAATTTCATTGGACATGCCAGATTTCACTGACATTATCCTGCAGATAGACAATATCAGGCATGCTATTGCCATAGACTACGATCCGGTTGATGGTTACATATATTGGACCGACGATGACGTCAGAGCCATTCGTCGGGCCTTCCTCGATGGAACAGGAGCTCAGACAATTGTATCAACAGAAATAGACCATCCGGATGGTATAGCAGTGGACTGGGTGGCCAGGAACTTATACTGGACAGACACTGGTACAGATCGCATTGAAGTCACACGGTTGAATGGGACATCAAGAAAAATCCTCATTTCAGAAAACCTAGATGAACCCAGAGCAATAGTGCTCAATCCTGTGATGGGGTGAGTGTTATAGGGTTTTAATCAGTTTTTTAAAAATGAAATTTTAGCTTTGTCTTTGTTTTATAGAGTACTGGGAAATTTTCTTGGCATTGATTAGATTGATATTATTGACCTTGAAGGAGATGGGGATGGTGATGGCTGACAGGAAGCTCTGGCATGGCTTGGTCCATGAGGTCATGAAGAGTCGGAAGCGACTGAACGAATAAACAACAAACTTAAATTTTGTTTCACGTCAAATCCAATACAAAATTAATCAAAAACAATAGTTTCCCCCCCCCCCCCTGAAAACTGAAAGTTGCCTATCACTGGAATTTGCACAGAAATGTCAAATCACATCTATTTGTCAAGGGGAATGTCAGCCTAAGTGCAAATATCAAGTTTCATCATAAGAAATGTATATTTTATAGCATAAACAAGAAAATAAAAATAGGGTTTTTTCATAAGGGACACAAATTACTAGATGGATCAGTTTGAAAATCTTAATTAGGGTCTTGGTTTGGTTCCTGTTAGATAATATAACTAAATAGGTAGCTTTACGATCAAGAATTTGCATTTGCATAAACAGGAATGTGTTTAAAATCATAGTGCAGATGGAATAACAAACAGATGAAGCAAACAGATAATTTCTAACCTCACATGGATTACATTTTCTTGGTGCAGCCTGTTTATATATCCCAATGCTTAGTTTTCAAATGAATGTGGTATTGTTAGCCCTCAAAGCCTTCCAGGTACCAAAATCTTCAATGATTTATGGAAATGAATTTCATTTCTCCTTCCCCCTTATTAGAAACTGCAAATATAGAACAGTGCAGCATAAGGATACACTTTGTAGCATAAGGATACACTTTTTTTTCAAATGATGGACGAAGATAGAAGAATTTATCCCTATATCAATTAATTGCGAGCATCACAACTTGAAGTTGCAGTGATATCACAAATGCAGATGTGAAACATGCCCTTTTCTGATTCTCAACAGGTATATGTACTGGACAGACTGGGGTGAAAATCCAAAAATTGAGTGTGCTTATTTGGACGGCTCTGAGAGGAAAGTCCTTGTGAACACTTCTTTAGGATGGCCTAATGGTTTGGCTTTGGATCTTGAAGAAAGCAAACTTTATTGGGGAGATGCAAAGATTGACAAAATTGAGGTAAGTAGAAAAACATGTGTTTTTCAGATTGATGTGATAATAACTGAGCTATTCTGAATATTAGGATTTGTACAATTGTTTTCTTGAAATGATTTTATGATGAATACATTTTTCAAGCACAACATGGGTTTGTAAATAAGAGGTGGGGTGGAAATGAGGGTTCTGTAGTTGTTTTATAGCCTCTAAATTCACTTTTGTTGCAGTCCTATTTATACTCTGAGAATAAATCCCATTGAATTCAGTAGGACTTATTCTTTGTAGACATGCTTTGGATGGTACTGTCAGAAGCATGAAGTGCTGGAACTGTACTATTAGAATGAATTTAAGTTCTGACTTAATCTGGAATTAATTATCAGATAGTCAGAAACTTTAGAGATGTTTTCTAAAACCAATATTGTTCTAAGTTTTCTCATAAGAAAATTGTATTCTAACATGTAGTTTATTTGGTATTTCTCATTCATTCTAAATAAAGTATTTTGTGATTTCAATATATGCCAAATACTAGTAGGAAATCAGGAGACGCTTACTTCTTGGGAGGAGAGCAATGTCCAATCTTGGCAAAGTAGTGAAGAGTAGAGACATCACACTGGCAATGAAGATCTGCATAGTTAAAGCTATGGTATTCCCCATAGTGACCTACAGATGTGAGAGCTGGACCCTAGGGAAGGCTGAGCAAAGGAAGATAGATGCTTTTGAACTGTGGCGTTAGAGGAAAGTTCTGAGAGTGCCTTGGACCGCCAGAAGATCCAACCAGTCCATACTTCAGGAATTAAAGCCTGACTACTCACTGGAGGGAAGGATATTAGATGAAGTACTTTGGCCACATCATGATAAGAAAGGAAAGCTTAGAGAAGACAATGATGCTGGGGAAAGTGGAAGGAAAAAGGAAGAGGGGCCGACCAAGGGCAAGATGGATGGGTGGCATTCTTAAAGTGACTGGATTGACCTTGAAGGAGCTGGGGGTGGTGACAGCCGACAGGGAGCTCTGGCGTGGGCTGGTCCATGAGGTCACGAAGAGTCGGAAACGACTGAACGAATGAACAACAAACAAATAGTATATATCAATCCTTCTGGTAAAAATTACTTTATAATCCAGCCCAACCTTGATGCTCCCTAGAGGTGTTGGGTTTATGCTTTCCCTGACACCTAGCCATCAAAGTCCAAGGTGACAGAAGTTATACATTTGGATGGTGGCAGGTTGGGAAAGTCTGCTGCTATTTGTAATTCTTAGACTGGAAGTAATAATGCTTAAATATAAGATGTTCGAATGACACATCTCTTTCTAAAGCACTTACGATAAAATGCCTTTTAGACTATAAAGGGAAAATAAAACCATTAAGAAGTTACTTTACAACAGGAAAAAGTGTGCTCATGCTTATATAGCTGGATTAAAAAGTGTATGTTTTAATTATCTCTTTATTTGCCTAATTTTTTTAAAATACTACTTTGGATATTAAGGTCAAATTAAATGATTTAAGATCTTATAGCTAAGATCTCATACAGTGCCATCACTGTACATGATTCTTTACAAGTAAAAGAACAATAGAACAATTCCCAACTCTCAGGCTTACAACCCTAATTAAGACATGACACAAAAGGAAAAGGGGATGGAGGGGAGAAGGGATTAAGTCCAGCAGATACTGCAGATCCCCCTGAGGCCAAGGCAGTGGCAGTTGAATGAAGAGGGGCTTTCACCTGCTTTTGGGGCAAGACAAGGCAGAGCTGCGCCTCCTCTTCTTCTCTCTCTTCCAGAGCAGTAGCAGTAACTCTGGGATCAGGTTTTTGGTCAATAATAGGAGCACTGCAATAAGAGACTATAAATTAACATAAGGACAACTCAGACTGGCCCTGGAATATGACCTGGATTGTGTGATTTTAATTGTTGCTTTAATGTTATATTTTAATTGGTTGCTTTTTAATGTTTTCGTTTATTAATTGATATATGAGTACATGTGGCATCAAATTGTTGGCTCTGTAAGGCTGACCTGAGTCCCCTTTGAGGTTGAGAAGGGTGGGATACAAACATTGTAAATAAATAAATAAATAAATAAATAAATAAATTCATTGGTCCATCTGGCCCTATTCTGACTGGAAAAGCACATGTCCTACAACTGACCTTATGGGCATTTCCCTTAAGAAATGGATTCCTGGTATCTGAGATTCTTGTATTGCTAACTGAGCAATAAAGTATCAAATACGCATTTCTGTGCTATGAATAAAGTTGGTGTGCCATTTGTTCACTTTCTTGGAAGATGTAAAGAGGTGTTTTTGATATCTTGTTCACTTTCTTGAAAGGTGAAAGAAATATAGAGAGGTGTAAGGAGGTGTTTTTGATATCTGTTTCCCATTCATACGGTTTTCCTTTTCCTGAAGTAAATAAATCCATGAGTTATTTTGATTTCTCATTCTTTCATTAAAATTCCTTTACATCTCTGAATATTTGGGTTGTACCCTATACAATATTTAGGATAGTCAGAAGGCTGTGCACTCAAAGACTTAAGATGGTTATGCTTTTTGTTCTTAGACTCTTCTAGAAGAGGAGTCTAGAAGCAATTGCTTAAAAATATAATTTCCATGCTCTTCTTTTTAGTAAGAATAAAAGTTTGTGGCTGTTTGGCAAGATCCGTGGCCAGTGATATTTAATGAACACTTCTGCCCGTTCTTTGCAATTTCACAAAACTTATTGGATGCTTCACTACGTCTCTGCCATAAATGTTTTAAAGGCAAACAACATGGCTTTTTATTTGAATTGATATTTATATTTATGTGCTCTCATGTCTTCTTGCTCCCTCCCTACCCTGTTTCTTGAGATGAAAGCCCCCATCGTCCTCCAAAGCAGGAAAATACCGCCATGGACGTAGGAGGGGGCGTGCCCTTATTTATGTGTGTAAAACTTCACATGGCAGGAACAGCAGTTATTCTTTCTTGGCAGAGACCTTCCCATCTGCAGCATTCAGCTGTAAATACAAAGGACTCAGTCACTTCACAAGCAGTTTATATCCTGAAGAAACCATTTGGCAAGCCTTGTCAAACCTTGCGTGACAACAGCCTTTGGGGCTTTCACTGCAAATTTGGCACCCTGTGGTAACATTGTTCCCAGCTTTTTAAACTTTTTGCTAAGTTAGTTTGGCAGTATGTGCAGAAGGGTGGGAGCCGAGCAGGGAAAGAGACAAGGACTATAGGAGATTTCACATAGTAGATGTGGAAATAATATATCTGTGTCAACAGACTGTACTGCCACAAAGTAAACGGCATAAATGAATTGAAACTAAATTTAGGACCTTGTCAGAAAATGGTATTTTTTTAGGGACAAACAGATTAATACGGATTACAAGGTTCCAGCGGAGAATGAAGCAAAGAGCCACTGGCACCCACGTGTAGAAGTCCCTAATTCTTTCTAAAAATCAGTTTTGTCATTTGCTATTATCTTCTTCAGCCTTGGCTTGAATGATCCTGGGGATTAATTAAACATTGTTGAAGTATTCAGCTATTATTAGACATGTTTCTAATTTAAACCACTTTGAGGCTGAAATTAGGGGTAAAATGTCACATAGAGGATTCTTAAATTTGGGTACCTCCTAATTTTAAAATTCAGAATTTCAAAAAACGGTGTAGCTATTTTCATGAAGGATGCAGACTTTGAATCAAGACATTATGTGAAGTATTGTGGCCAGCTGAAAAGTGTCTGTGAAGCATGACAGAGGTCATTAGTGTGAGGTACAAGTCTGTTGCTTCCATCTGCATAAGCTTCCATCTGCAGACTCACATAAGTTCAGCTGATATGGCTTCAGGCTTGATTTTCCCTAGCTTGCTCCCTTTTGTCACGCTCAAAAAATGTGAAAATATTGTGAAAATATTTATGTAAGCTTAGAACAAGGAATGGTTTTTGGTGAGGTTGTGGTGGTATTTTTTGTGATAAGGAAAGTTTGTCATATTGTTGAATTCTATCTAGCAATCATTTTTTTCGGCAATTTAAAATATATTAAAGCTAATACTTTAAATAATAGTTTTAGTACGGCTTAGTGTACATCAATGTTTCTCAACCTGAGGTAGGGGCCCCGGGGGGGGATCACGAGGGGATATCAGGGGGGTTGCCAAAGACCATCATAAAACACAGTATTTTCTGTTAGCCATGGGGGTTCTGTATGGGAAATTTGGCCCGATTCCCTTATTGGTGTTCAGAATGCTATTTGAGGGTCTTTCCCCTCAAAATACACCAGTGGCATATCGGACATATTGAGTATTTGTACTAAGTTTGGTCCAGATCCATCATTGTTTGAGTCCATAGTGCTTTCTGGATGTAGGTGAACTTCAACTCCGAAACTCAAGGTCAGTGCCTACCAAACCCTTCCAGTATTTTCTGTTGGTCATGGGAGTTCTGTGGGCCAAGTTGTTTCAGTTCCATTGTTGATGGGGTTCAGAATGCTCTTTGATGGTAGGTGAACTATAAATCCCAGCAATTATAACTCCCAAATAACAAAATCAATCCCCCCCCCCCCCCCCCCCCCCCCCCCCCCCCCCGCAAACCCCAGCAGTATTCAAATTTGGGCGTATTGAGTATTTGTGCCAAATTTGGTTCAGTGAATGAAAATACATCATGTATATATTTACCTTACGATTAATAACAGTAGCAAAATTACAGTTATGAAGTAGCAACTGCAATAATGTTATGGTTGGGGTCACCCACAACATGAGGAATTGTAATAAAGGGGTCGCGGCATTAGGATGGTTGAGAATTACTGGTGTACATGAAGATAAAAGAAAGCAGAACTATTATTTTTACTGGGTGTTACTTTAAAAGAGTGCAAATGAATTCATCCTAACATCTGTTCATAAAAATGCATATATATTTGCTTTGTACAAAACTCTAAAAATGGGAAGAACTAATAAATAAATAAAATCAGAATGCAATCAAAGTCTGATTCAACATATTCGTTGCAGGGCAAATTGGCATAACCTTTCCCACCCAACACCCAAACTAAAATGTCCTTGTTACAGGG